CAAGGATTTTGAGGTATATCCTGCGGGTCCTGCCCGGGCTCACAGAATACGCTTCCACCTTTAATCTTGGGTTGTTTATTCTAACGCCGCATGACATCAAAGCGCAGGAGAGGTTCACAAAGAGGAAGGCACTTTTGCTTGCCTGCTAAATGACACGTCTGTAGCACATCCTCACAAGCACACAGGTTCCTCTTGAAATGTGGCATCTTGTTGTGCAGGCAGGTCCAAACACCCACCCACCCACACACACACACACACACACACACACACACACACACACACACACACACACACACTATCCTCCCACCTGGCCATCACTGCTTCCTCCCAGCAGCTCTCCATCCCCTCTCTTTTCATCTTCTTATTTGACCAGAATCTTATCTGCACACTGTGAATGGGACATGGTCTGGGTCAGCTCCCCTACATGAATATGTGGCCAGAGGGCTGAAAGGATAGAGAGCTGGGAGGAGGGTAAGGCTAGGAGGAGGAGTATCCCAATGGAGAGCTGAGGCTGAGCTGCAGGGCCTTTCTTATGGAAATGGATGAATGTTAATTGCCCAGAACTAGAGCTGCACTCGACTGCTCGGGGCATCCTTTTTACTGATCTTTAGGGATGTTTTTTTGAGGGAGTGTGGGGTCATTCGATATGGCCCCACTGACCATCCAGGGGTGCAAGTTTCCAGCATTTCCATCAGACAGAAACATACAAGCGCCCCAGAGAGGGTCTTTGTGTGTTTATGTTATAACAGTGGCTCTCTCATGGTTCTCCCGCAGGTCGCATCAGGGAGGCCAGACACAACACGGGGCCTGTGGCACCGCCTGGACTACAAGTATCCTTTCACCGCTTCTTCTCCAAAGCACTCCCACATCTGTTCGCACTCACAATGGTTAATGCACTGGTCTGTTGAGCTGAGTGGTGTTTTAGTGGGAGTAGAAGGAAAATAGCAGAGTGCTGCATTTCAGGGGATGTGAAGAAGAAAGTACTGGGAATGTGTGTGGCCTTCAAGTACCCATAACTATATAGTGGATATCTTAGCTTTTTTTTTTTAAATGGCCTACTACCAGTAAAATACATATAGGTACTCATTACATGGATATTTTGACATTTTGAAGAACTATTTTCAGGCTGTTTTATATTTGAAACAAAAGAATGACTCAAACTCATCAGAATTAGCTTTTTGTTGTTCTGAATCCACTCTGATCCTGTATTTGATCATGTCTATAAACCCCTCTATTTCAGCCCTGCTCAGAACAGGCTGTTTCTGTGTCTGTACCTTTAAATATGTAAATGAGCTGTGTCCGACCACGCCCCCTCTCTGGAAGGGCTTGGGTGTACTCGGTCTTTCTCGCTCCATGTCCTATTGTTTACGGTGAGAAGGCAGACTCAGAGGGCAGCACAAACACCTAGCTGTGGGAGTGTCACCCACCTGGGGGAGGGGCTACTGCCCTTTGTGATGTCATGAAGGGAACATCTCCAAATGGCCTGTTTGAGCACACATTTTCGGAAAAGTGGAGCAGGCAAAAGATGGAGAGGATGGACTTTTCTCATCATTGGGGGGTTTGTAGACGGACTAGAGACACATGTTAGTGTTAGACATGGTGACGTGTATTTATAATCTGTGACTTTAACACCAGTCTTCTTGCTAAACCAAGCTAAGCTAACAAGTAGCCTTTAATTAAAAGGTCAGTCCAACATTTTGAATAATTGTTTCAGGGGCTTTTTTGTTGCTGAAGTAAAACCATCAATTCACTTTGTTAGCATTCGACAGAACCAGAAAGTCTGTTCCCTTATTTTATGCTCAGCCCTCAAGGACCTTTCTTCATCCTTGCGTCATAAAAATGTTCACAATATTTAGATGTAAATCTCTGAAATCAAAGCGGAAAAGTGTCCCAAATAAAAACTATTTCTTGAATGTATTTGCTGTTGACTGCAGGGCAAACTGGATTTCTGTAATTTATAGAGCGGGGTTAAATCATTCAGCAGTTTAAAAAACGGTCCAGTCCTGTGCAGCAGAATTTCATGAGGACTGCATTAAGCTCCCGCTAATCGAATTTTACCACTTAATGGCCTCGTGACCTGCCCCGCTGCTGCTTGGCGGGAGCACATCATTTTACTTTATGGACTGACTCTGTCTCTGCCGCAAAACAATGAGATGCTGTTCTGCCAGTGCATTCATTTAGTGTTTTCATTTAATGCACGAGTGCGTTAATATTAATACTAGATTTTTTTTACGTTTATAGAGAAGGGCATTTAAAGGGGAAAAAACATAAGAGGAAACATATGACTGGACACTGTTGGTTAACCATTCACTTATTTGTCATGGATGGGGAAAAGGACTGAAGGTTGATTTGGCAAAGTGGAAAAATCAGTATCTTTTAGTTGATCTTTGCAGTGAGTAGCATCCAGTTCTGAGAAATGAGCATCATAAGCATCATTCTTGGCCTGATGAATCATGTTAAGGCTGTCAGACTCCCTTACATAACATCATTATGACAGTCTGATTCAGTAGAGCACAGATTCAGGTTAAAGCATCTGTACTGTGTCCTTCAGAATATTTTTGCTTCCTTTTATTTCTCGGCATGTTTTTGGAGTTGCACAACAAATACAATTCCTTAAAAATGGTTTCTGGAGAAATCATTTGCAGTGACTTATGTGGACTCGGGTTAATGTTGTGGGCGGGCCAATTCAACCTAACTGCATCAAAACAACGCAACCGCAACCCCTCTGATGTGATTCAAATGGCTGGAAAGCATTTTATTTCCTGCATGTATAACATTTCCATTATCACTGCCGTTTTCTAGATTCTGCTGAAGGGAGGGAAGAACACTAGAAGCTGGTATATTCGACTGCTGCTCGATATTTCTCCAACTCCAATGTAAGACGCTCCGTTTCAGTCGCCATGGTTACCTGTGCTAAAACATGCAGAGAATTTAATGGAAACTAAAAACAGGCGATATAGCTGTGGCATAGAAATCGGTCTGCCAACTAGTGTTTGTAGGCAGGGAGAATTGCAGAGCTAACCAGACACACCGATGCACAGGTATGTAGTGCTCACAATGGCGTGGGCCACTGCAGCATAGCTACGGCTTTGATATGACGCAGAAGTATAAACTTTAGGTTAATACTGTCCTCCAGCTCCAAGACCTGATTGGAGTCAGGAAGAGGAGGGCAGAGTTAGCGAGGAGGCTAGAGTTAACTTGCATGCATTGGTAAACCAACCCAGATCTGAAAGAGCCCTTTCACTGAGACCATCTGTGAACAATCAGTCTGTATTTGCACAGCGCCAATTCATAGCAAATGTTATCTTCAGACACTTAGAGCAGGTAAAAATCCTTACTCTTTGTTATATTATATCCACAATACAAAACTAAAAGCAGTTCTTAGTCCCTCAAAAGGATCGTTTCTTCAGGTACTGTTCCTTTGCTCAAAAATCTTAACGTTTTAAAATATTTCTCTGGAAGTTATTCTGTGTTGTTCCTTGGTGTTCTCACACGTCTCCATGTCTCTGCTGCTGAAAAGCCTCCTCACTCTTGACACCTCGATTTTCTCAGCTTGGTGTTAGCTGAGTGATCAAATCTGGCAAGGTTCTAAGAAAGATTGTGCCTCACTTTAAAACGGAAGACATTTAAGCTTATCATTGAAAATTATTACAGTGTGCGCTTGTCCTTTTTATCTTGTTTCGTGATCAAATGTGTGGATAGTTGGTGACCATGGTTTTGATCAAACCCATTTCAGTTTAGGATGTTAACCCTCATAATTCAGGAAATGTGAATGAGGTCATGGCTGTGTTGAATCACTGTAAACCACAGACCTGGATATGACATAATATCCTTCCTGATACCTCAAATTATTCATTCCATGAATTTTCTATTATTTAAAATAGAAAACACTGGGTCCATCACTGGGTCTCAAAACAAGACAAGAGTGAGGAGAGTATCATATGTTGATAGAGGAGTTTCACCTGTCCATAAAGGAGAGTTTCACCTGTTGAGCAAGGAGAGTTTAACCTGTTGATAGAGTTTTACCTGTAGATAGAGGAGCGTTTCACCTGTTGATAAAGGAGAGTTTTACCAGTCGATAGAGGAGAGTTTCACCTGCTGATAGAAGAGAGTTTCACCTGTCGATAGAGGAGTTTCACCTGTCCATAAAGGAGAGTTTCACCTGTTGACAAAGGAGAGTTTCACCTGGCGATAGAGAGTTTCCCCTGTCGATAGAGGAGAGTTTCACCTGTTGACAAAGGAGAGTTTCACCTGTCAATAGAGGAGAATTTCACCTGTTGAGAAAGAAGAGTTTCACCTGTTGATAGACTTTTACCTGTAGATAGAGGAGAGTTTCACCTGTTGATAAAGGAGAGTTTCACCCGTTGATAAAGGAGAGTTTCACCTGTTGGTAAAGGAGAGTTTCCCCTGTTGATAAAGGAGAGTTTCACCCGTTGGTAAAGGAGAGTTTCCCCTGTTGATAAAGGAGAGTTTCACCTTTTGATAAAGGAGAGTTTCACCCGTTGATAAAGGAGAGTTTCACCTGTTGGTAAAGGAGAGTTTCCCCTGTTGATAAAGGAGAGTTTCACCCGTTGATAAAGGAGAGTTTCACCTGTTGGTAAAGGAGAGTTTCCCCTGTTGATAAAGGAGAGTTTCACCCGTTGATAAAGGAGAGTTTCACCTGTTGGTAAAGGAGAGTTTCACCTGTTGGTAAAGGAGAGTTTCCCCTGTTGATAAAGGAGAGTTTCACCTGTTGGTAAAGGAGAGTTTCCCCTGTTGATAAAGGAGAGTTTCACCCGTTGATAAAGGAGAGTTTCACCTGTTGGTAAAGGAGAGTTTCCCCTGTTGATAAAGGAGAGTTTCACCTGTTGGTAGAGGAGAGTTTCCCCTGTTGATAAAGGAGAGTTTTGCATGTTGATAAAGGAGAGTTTCACCTGTTGATAGAGGAGAGTTTCACTTGTCAATAGAGGAGAGTTTCACCTGTTGACAAAGGAGAGTTTCACTTGTCAATAGAGGAGAGTTTCACCTGTTGATAGAGACTTTCACCTGTATATAGAGGAGACTTTCACCTGTCGATAGAGGAGTTTCACCTGTTGATAAAGGAGAGTTTCAACTGTTGATAAAGGAGAGTTTCACCCGTTGATAAAGGAGAGTTTCACCTGTTGGTAAAGAAGTTTCCCCTGTTGATAAAGGAGAGTTTCACCTGTTGATAAAGGAGAGTTTCACCTGTCGATAGAGGAGAGTTTCACCTGTTGACAAAGGAGAGTTTCACCTGTCAATAGAGGAGAGTTTCACCTGTTGATAGAGACTTTCACCTGTATATAGAGGAGAGTTTCACCTGTTGATAAAGGAGACTTTCACCTGTTGATAAAGGAGAGTTTCACCTTTGATAAAGGAGAGTTTCACCCGTTGATAAAGGAGAGTTTCACCTGTTGGTAAAGAAGAGTTTCACCTTTTGATAAAGGAGAGTTTCCCCTGTTGATGAAGGAGAGTTTTGCATGTTGATAAAGGAGAGTTTCACCTGTTGATAGAGGAGAGTTTCACTTGTCAATAGAGGAGACTTTCACCTGTTGACATAGGAGAGTTTCACTTGTCAATAGAGGAGAGTTTCACCTGTTGATAGAGACTTTCACCTGTATATAGAGGAGAGTTTCACCTGTCGATAGAGGAGTTTCACCTGTTGATAAAGGAGAGTTTCACCCGTTGATAAAGGAGAGTTTCACATGTTGGTAAAGGAGAGTTTCCCCTGTTGATAAAGGAGAGTTTCGTGTGTTGATAAAGGAGAGTTTCACCTGTTGATAAAGGAGAGTTGCACCTGTCGATAGAGGAGAGTTTTACCTGTTGACAAAGG